TGCGCGCCCTGCGCTCCGGCCAGTGCGCTGGAGCCGCGCTGGACGTGTTCACCGAGGTCAGTGCCCGGCGGCGGGGACGGGGGGCGGGCCGGAGGGCTGCGGGTCGCTGCCTCTCTGTCCATGGCGAAATCAATCAAATTTACGGAAATCAATCAAATTTATGCCCAAAAATAACCCCTTCGGTTTGAGGAGCCCCTGCGGAGCTCCTGATTCCCAGGCGGTCGTGTTGTCTGCAAAACTCACCGCAGCGTCTGGCCTCCAGCTCGGCTGCTGCCATGTGGGCAGCTTCAGGGGACAGCAGCACATCAGTTCTGGGGTCGGGGCTTTGGGGCAGGGAGCGAGGCCCCGACTATGCCCGGAGTCTCCACGCAACCGTGATACTGGTCCCCCGGCCGGTGCCACGCAGCGTCCGTCTGCTTTCCTTTCCCTTCCTCCCTTCCGTGGAGGGAGGGGGCCCCAGGACAGTGCTCAGAAGGTCAGAGCGTTCCCTTGGTCCCCAGGGTGGGCTGCTCTCCCTGGGTCTCCCCCTCCCGGCCCCCACACCAGATGGCGTGATGAAGGCGCACTTCCCCTGGAATCCCGCCGGCCTCCCTTGAACGTCCGAGATCCAGGGGAAAGGGCATGGACTTTGGACCAGCCAGTGGGGGGGTGACTGGTCACATCCCAGCTAGGTGGCCTTGGCAAGTCCCTAGCGCTCTCGGGGCCTCGTCGCACTCATGGTCCCTGCTCAGGGAGCTCCGTGCGTTCGATTTGTGCTTCCGGCTCTTTCTCTGGATCACGGTCTCGGAAGGTGAAGTGGGCCTGGCCCTGCACAGCGCCCCGCCCCGCTGTCCTCAGCCTCCCCAGAGGCTCAGTGCTGTGGTGCTAGGACTCAAAGGGCCATGTGGCCCCAATCCAGCGGGAGCCAGCAGGCCACGGGGGGACCACTGGAAGCCAGGAGGCCCAAGCGACATCCCCAGGGGCACCACTGTGTGCTCAGTGAACAGAAGGGGTGGAAGGGACATTGGGGGTTGGGGAGCAGACATCCAGCTGGGCCCCGTCACTGTGCGGGGTGTCTGCAAAGAGCATGGCAGTAAGTGCCATGGAGGGGCGGGGTCAGAGAAAAACGGTAACAGTGGCTGCCACTGGTTGAGAGCCACTTGTGTAACTGGTGTGTGATCTCCGTGACGATGTGACGTAGGTAGCATGAACCCATTTATAGAGAGGGAGACCGAGGCACCTAGGCGTTGAGCGGCGGAGCCGAGGTTTTTATCCGGTCCACAGCTCTGTCCATTCTGCTGTGGTCGGACCTTCACGAGGAAGCTGGTGATTGAGTCCAGTGTCCACCCTGGCAAAATGACAGGAGGAGGTGACACCCCCCCTGCCTGCCTCGCCCCCAGTGCCGTCACGCGGGGCCAGTCCATGGCCACCAACTGAGGGGGCTCTCTTCTGGGCAGGAGCCGCCTCGGGACCGGGCTTTGGTGGACCACGAGAACGTCATCAGCTGCCCCCACCTGGGCGCCAGCACCAAGGAGGCCCAGAGCCGCTGTGGGGAAGAAATCGCCGTCCAGTTCGTGGACATGATGAAGGGCAAGTCCCTGGCGGGCGTTGTAAGTGTCGCCATGTGGGGCGGGGCCCGGAGGTCAGAGGGGGGAGCGGGCCAAGGGGGTCTTGATCATGGGATGGTGATGGTGGGGACCAGCAGCGGTGTAGTGACCAGATTCTGTCCTGGGAGCTGAAGATAAGGGGCTCCACTTGAGCCAAGCTCTGGACGGGATGGCAGGAGCTGGCCTGTCACTAGCCTTGGTGGCTCAGGCCTGATACATTGTAGCTTTGTGCAGAGACTGTGGCTCTTCCCAGGGTCCAGCCTCTAGAGAAAGGCTCCTTTGTTCCCCACATGCTGCCTTGGGGGTGAAGGAGCGTCACGAAGGGCTGACGGCTGGACCCCGGGGTGGGGGCGGTGTGGGGAGGAATGGCCTGTGGAGAAAGCCCCATTAGGACACCCCTCGTAGCCCTGGGCACCCCTTTCATCATGTTCATCTTAGCACCCTGAGCAGGGACTCCCCTTCCCCTTCTGTCCCCCAAACCATAGCTAATGTCCCCACTCGTCTTCTCACACGGGGCCTTTCTTGGCATGTGTTTCTCTTCCATGTCTAACCTGGCTTGTGCTTCAAGTCCTGTCTCATTCAATCTTTGGATGTTCCTTGAGCTCCAGTGGGTACCAGATACTGTCACAGCCCTTTGGGACACTGATGAATAAGGAAGGCACAGGTCCCCTGAGGGAGTTTGCTGCCCCGCCACGGAGACCTGCTTGTTGGTGGCTGGTGGAAGCTGTCACTGCCCCAAAGCCAGGTGGCCCCGTGCCTTCCGCTCTCCACAGGAAGTCGAGTATAGGCAGCAAGACCTTGTTTGGACAGGTGTGCCCTGTCTCACCTCCTCCTGACTTCAGCCCTGTCCCCTCTCTGCAGGTGAACGCCCAGGCCCTTACCAGTGCCTTCTCTCCACACACCAAGCCTTGGATTGGTCTGGCAGAAGCTCTGGGGACGCTGATGCGAGCCTGGGCTGGGTCCCCCAAAGGGACCATTCAGGTGGTAACGCAGGGTGAGCAGGGGTCACTGCAGAAGGAGGGGAGAGGGGTGCGGACTCTGCACCCCACTGTGTGTCTGCTGCAGGTCACGTACAGTGAGGGACTCTGAGGTGACCTTGGTCTTACGACTCCGTGCCCTACATTCTCTCCGAGTACGGCTCTCGTTTGCTGCTGAGTGGGGACTTAAAGTAGAGGGGGACATCGTTGGGAGATATACCAAATATTCTTAATTTTCACAAATCATCTTCGTGCGGTATGTTTAAGACGTACGTGTTTTGGGTGCAAGAGGGACCTCCGCAGAGACGAAACGTCCCGTTAGAGGCGGCAGGAATGGCTCGAGGCTAAGGACGGGACCGGGTTTGGGCCCTGTCGCTTACGTGTGGTGTGGCTTTCCCTCCTCCGAGCCATTTGTGGTCCTTCACGTGTGACGTGAGAGTCAGGGTGGCTGTTCTGTGACAACGTAAGATGCCTTACGTGGGTCAGGGGACGGGTTGCTTGGCCAGGGAGTGGGACCCAGAGCAGCGCCCTCTGCTGGCCCCTTGGCGACTGAGCCGGCTCTGGTCACCTTTGCAGTGGGTCCAGCCCTGGGAGGGCTCCAGTCCCCTCAGCCCTGCAGAGGTTTGTCCTTCCCGCTGACTGCTGGGCATCTGCTCACCGGGGGGAGAACGTGGGGGCGAGGGCTGAGCCAGGGCTGAGCCAGGGCTGAGCCGCGGGCCTGGGCGCCCAGGCCCTCGAGGAACAAAGCAGGGGACTGGGCTGCGGTTGCTTCATTTGTCCCCTGAGCTTCCGCTTCCTGAGGCTGGCAAGGGCACACATGCCAGGTGGGGGTGGGAGTAATTTTTCAAGTGTCCCTTTGGAGCATGACAGGCAGGCCAGGGCGGCCAGGGCAGGTGTGCGGGGGCAGTGGAGTCGGGCTGGGTTTCGGAGAGGAGTTCCTTAGAGTGTCCCAGGCGTCCTGGCCTGGACCCCACTACGTCTTCATCCAGCTGTTCTCCGCTCCCCAGGGTAAAGCAGCACTGCCCGGGCAGGAGCCGGTCGGGCCCGCAGGGCCATGAGGAGCCCGTGACCCAAAGCTGGGAGCCAGTGGTCTCCTGCCCTTCCCGTGTTGCTGAGTACACAGCGACCTCACGGTGGCGTCTTTCGGTCCCCAGGCACAGCCCTGAAGAATGCCGGGAACTGCCTGAGCCCTGCGGTCATCGTCGGCCTGCTGAAACACGCTTCCAGCCCGGCGGATGTGAACCTGGTGAACGCCAAGCTGCTGGTGAAAGAGGCCGGCCTCAATGTGAGTGGGGCGCTGGGCGCACGTCCTGCCGCGGGCTCTGCGCGCCTGCAAGAGGTCGCCGTTGTCTGGGACGCGGGGATGCCGTCTACTGAGCAAGCGCACACGCGCGCAAGTGCTTCGGGCATGAGTGTCGT